GAGCAGGGGGTTGGACTAGATGACCTATGGAGGTCCCTTCCAGTCTTGGTCCCTATGGTTTTATGATCATCCCAAACCAAGAACAATTAAGAGTGAACCAACGAATCCTGAATATTATCTGCTTTTATTTCAGGCTGCACAGCCCCTGCTCAGCCCCTTCCTCCAGTCACTCAGGCCCCCAGTAGTAGCAGCAGAAGTGGCAGCGGCAGCGGGAGCTCTGGTGGCAGTGGCTTCTGCGCTGGCAGGGCTAACGGCCTTTACCCAGACCCAAGTGACCAGAACAGCTTCTACCAGTGCTTGAATGGGCAAACCTATTTCCAGCATTGCCAGGCCAGTCTCATCTTTGATGCCAGCTGCTCCTGCTGCACCTGGGCATGAGTGGATCAGGACTGTGGGATAACTAATTAACTGTTCTAATCTGATTGAGATTATAGCAAGCAGTAAGGATGAAATAAAATAATCTGCAAAATCAATAGCTGTGCACGCTGTGGTTTGTTAACTCATCTGGGATTCCTTTGGGCTGCGGGGGCAGTGACTGGCATTAATCTCTGCATATTCCCCCACTAACCCATTTGTATTTTGAACCAGCCAACCCCACTTACAGCCCTTATTCATAGCCTATTCCCTCATCCCATGCTAGTCAGTCGTTAAAGGCCATTGACTTCAGACTAACATCGCTAACTACATCAGTCACTGAAGTCAGTCTCAATCTACCCTTTGACTTCAAGGAGAATTGTGAATGAAGCAGCACATCAACCAAGTTATTGAGTTCAGGATAATCTCTGGTTTCCCTTGTATCAACCATCGCACTCTAATGATGATATCTGCTCTATACAGTCTCTCTAGTAAGAGTCAACAGATCAATCCATTAATAAATCACTCAAACTGTAATACACATACATTTTAATTAGGGCTGTTTGAGGTATAAGCACGGCAGTATGAGAACCTGAGCACTGCAAAGTTGGTATTTATATTGTACACTACTCTCTTAGGTCTCCACTTTCCACAGTTTCAGGACTATTTGCTAGAGAGGTAGAAAAGGGTGTCTATTGTACTCAGAGGGAAGGATAGAGAGTTCCACCACTATCAACCCACCAGCTGTCCATTCAGGTCTCTTTGGTGATAAGGTGGCTGTGTTATAGAGGGGAGGCAGACAGTATAACATGGAGAGAGAGATTCAGTTGGATCATTTTGCAGGGAAGTCATGGCCAGCCTGATTCTCTTTACCAGTTAATCCATGCTTATTACTGTGCCAGCGCACAAGCTTACTCCTATGGGAACTGTGCAGCCATGTTCCAGACTTCTGTAGGCACAGCTCTATTCTGCAAAATTAATCTGGATATAATTGCGCCTTATATAGCACTTATTCTGCACTGCAGTGAACTATGTCCTGAACAGCAGATTTACCATACTAAAACAAGCCATTTGGTCCAGCTAACCTAACACTTGGCCTATATCAGTGGACAATAAGTGTTACATTAGAAGAAACTCAAAGAACCTGCCAACAATGCACCCACCAATTGAACAACCCTGTGCAAAGGTAGGAAATGTCTCCCAGACTACATACTGCCTCCCTTTAGTGCCCCAATACATAATGTTTCATCTCTCCTATCTTTAGTGCTACATCTTTGTTGGCTGATTATCTTTACATCCAGCTATAGTATGCGCTTCAATGATCAGCGAACAAAGCATGCTAAAATCCATCCCTGAATATGTACAACATTCATTAATAGATTGCAATGTTTGGCTATTTGTAGGGTAAATGCTTGGGAAAGAGCTTAGTCATGACTGCAACATAGCACATTGTGACCAGAGCTGGTCTGAGACTTTCTTTTTCCATGCAAGCAAGCTGTCTGCACAGTTTTCATTTTAACTTGGGTGATTTATTTTAGTTTCTGTCCCCTGCAAAGCTCTGATGCTCTTGCTGAAGGCTCATCTGGCTGAAAACTCTTCTCATCCGATCTTGTCTTCTCCCTGGACACTGAATTTTCCCCCCCTCCCAAGATCAGACTTGCACTATCCCCTGCCCATCAACAAAGCCCTGTGCCATTGTACATCTGAGGCTCACCTGAAACAGGTCCAAGCAAAGCTATAACAGTCTCATCTACATCCCACTTGCAGAGCCTCCTTTCTCAGCAGCAGGCAGCAGCTGACTAAACAGGGGGTGCAAGGGGACTTGTGAACAAACAGAGCTGCAAATTCAGCAGTCTGCTCCCCTGGGCCAATGAAAGGCCCTTTGAGATGATCAGACAAGGTGAGGTTAATTAAACTGTTAGGGGTTGGAGTGTGTGCGTGTGAGCTAGAGCAGGCAGGAACAATTAAGGGAAGACAATGGGCCCCCACAGAGAGGTGCCCCCAAAGGACTTATGCCCCCCACTAGCCATGGCTATCCCTAGCACAGTGCAACAATCTGTTCCCTGGAGATGAGTCAGAGCCCCTCTACATGACATACAGGACCATCAGGACCCCTGATGGCTTGGGGCAGTGCAAAAGGTTTCCAGGCAGGGGGTTGGGACAGCTGTATCAAGGGGCAAAGCAGCTCATCCCATGGGCGTGCTAGTATCGCCACACCAGCAGGAACTGCGCAGTGTCAGGTGCAGGGGGCGGCAGGATCAGCCCCTGCAGCTGCAAAAGCAAGAGCTCAAGGAGAAGCCCTGGGGGAGCCATTGCTATTGCTGTTGCCCTACAAGCAACTGCCTGCACCAACCCTTCCTTTCACAGGGCTCCTGGCATCACAGCAATGACCGCCTCTTAAAAGCTCCAGGATGACATCGCATCAAAGCCACGCCCCCCACGCATCCATGGCAACCATTCATACACACAGCTAGCAGCATGATCTGGGAGTGGGAGCTGACAGGTGAGTAGGAGCTGGGGGTTGCAGAGCTGGGCATGGCAGCGCTGGGTGGTGCCCCAGGCTGGGCAGAGATGCACGTGCAACCCCAGGCAGCAGCCAAGGCAAGCAGCGCCTCCCCAACCCTGAATACAAACCCCGAAGGACTAGCCGGCAGCAGGATGTATGCCCTGCCGTAGCTGGGGGATTGTGGGGTGTTTGCTCCATGAGGGCATGTACCTGGGGAAGAAGAGGAGGTACTGTGCCAGCACCAAGGACAAATCGCTGCCTGTGCACTGCAGCAGGTGCCCATGCCCTTACTCTAATGCATCCTCGCTCTTCCTGTCCCCTGTAGATGTGCAGAAGCGGAACTCATTTGGATCATGTCAGGACAGGAGCATTTTCCCCCTTCACTATGCTCGAGACAGGCTGGGGAACCAGCTGGTGCCTATCAGAGGAGAGCCCTGGCGGGGGCCAGGCTGTTACAAAAGCGATGAGGTGAGTCGACAGTGGGTCTCTGGATCTTGGCACCGTACCTCTGCTTAGTGAGGGACTTCCCAGCCTGGAAGACTCCCTGTCCAAATAGACAAGAGTATCATTTGTAAAGTGACCTGGGAGCCAAAATCCAATTTTCCAGAGTCCCTTCAAACCTGCACAGGGATGTAGATAGATATCTAATGGGCTTCCCAGATGAATCTGAGCAAAGTGTTAATGAAAAACAATGGAATCAAAGCTTACACAGTTCCCACTTGTTCCTGAAAAGTTCACTCAAGAAAAAACAAAGGCAGGGTTATTATTCCCATTTTACAGATAAGGAAACTGAGGCGTGCATAGAAATGATGTCACCTCTAGGGTTATCATATGTCTGATTCTCCCAGACATGTCCTCTTTTTGGGTCCTCCCATATCTGTCCGGACGGTTTTTTAAAATATCAAGTGTCCAGGATTTTGCTTTGCCTCTGCTCAGCATCAGTTTTTTTACCCTGCACTTGTGGGCTTGCCCCAGCAGGGAGCTGCTTGGGGCTGGGGGGGAGTGGGGGGAGGGGATCGAAGGTAGGGGCATCATATGCATCTCTGTGCCACCCCGACACCTGCAGGCAGGTAAGTC